AACAAGCTTCTAACCATACTACATTTTTTTAACTTTAATGCCAATTCTTCACTAATAACCATTATTCAATATAGAATTATTTTAAGATCCTGCTTGCCTAAATAGACCCAGTATTTCTCCATTTCTCCTATTAACAGAGTATTTACATTCATAGACTCAAACTATGAAGGAAATAATTTCCTAAGTAGTTTCTCTTGCTATTTTAATTTTATTTGTATAGATGCATACGGGAAGAGTTCAGAGCATAATGCAGTATTTGCTATTTTCTACCCTCCCTTCTCCATGTAGGATTGCCACAGTCAAATTTCCTATTATGATAGATTGATTCTAATGTAGTAGATTTTGCAAACACTGTGTTCAAGCACTCTTATTTTTAATTTCTCCGGCTTTATCCCTTTAAAAACCACAGCTGTTACTAAGATAACAAAAATTATGTTGAATAACTGCTTACTTTTCCACTTTCCCGGAGGGGTGGGGGAACAGCAGGTAGCATAGCCTCATCCCCAAAACAGATGTTACTTTATTAAAAATTCAGTGTTTTGGAGGGAGTAGAAGGAGATTTATGCTTTGGGAGAGCAGTGAAATTAGGAGTAAGAATATGATATGGACCAATTCAGCTTTTAAATTCAAGCTTTGCGTGTATTTTATTGATAGCATTTGAATTGAATTGTATTTTAGATGTGTTTGGATTAATCGAATGCCCAAGGTCCAGCCTGATACTAAGTAATTGCTATCATAATTAGTCAACTCGACAAGTTTTTCTAGACTCTTCATATAAAATTGCACTGGATAAGTTCTGTGGTAGATCTAAATGTAATCATGTATGATACAATTCTTTTATGAGAGTTTAACTGATAATAACACTTTACTAAATTATTTAGCTTTGAAAGTCTTTTTGTTTTGTTAGAATTCAGAGCTCCCCCCCCCCTTTTTTTAAGTTAATTCTGGAAGCATGCTGAAAATGTCAACTGCTAGTCATTCTGCAATAACTTAATCTTTTTGATATCCAAATAACCAATAAAATTATATATCTTCAAATCTAGGAAAGATTTTTAAAATTATATCCAAGAAACTTAAAAAAAGAAAAGCACTAGCCATTCTCAGTTGCATCCATCCATCCCTGAGTTAAAATTCTGAAGGTTATTGTCTCACCTCCTATTTGGACCTGCTTTCTAGGTTACTGTTTGTTTCTATATCCTAGATTAAGATAAATTATGATGATACACATATTTCCAATGCCATTGAAACAAAGAATTTATAATCTGTAGAAAAACTAGAAATGTGAGTCAAAATTTCAAAACTGGGCAGTCTATAATACACTTCAAATAAATTTATTTCTTTCTGTATTTTTCAGTTGTTTTTTCTTTGAAATAATCAAATTATTAAAAGCCTTCTAATCACCTTACAATCACGATGTAGAGATAAAAGTGTGATTACGTGAAACACTCTGATCTTCACAATTATTGTGAACTTAAGCTGTAATACTCCTGTAGTTACTGTGACCATCAGCAACTAACTGAGGACAGTTATGCAGAATCATTGAATCTTAGTTATAGTACTTAAACACTTGCGATTTTTTGCAGGTGTTGGTATCTATTAAATTTTTTGTTGCTACAATGCTAAATATCTTCTAGGCATAATCATGATATTAGACCCTGTCAGGGTTAGATTGCTGTTATTAAATGTCTCAGTCATGAAAGCCTGTCATCTGCCAATGAGGATGAAGAGTTCAAATCTTGCAATTAGTCAGCAAAAGTACATTCAGTTGTTTTTCTTAATCTTGTCAATTTCATGTCATATCATTAGGTAAACCAAGAAAAGGAAGACACTTATGTGGTCAGCTTATTCCATGATACTATGAACCCATAAGTAGAAAAATTATTGTTTTTTATTTGTGAGGGGAATAGAAACTTCATCCTTTGAGGTCCCTAGTAAAAGTGAATGCATTCAGAAAACTACGACACATTTAGATTAAATATAAATATATGTTAAAATTTTCAGATGACAGATACTTAAAGGATGTTTAAAGGTGTCACATCTAAATTTCAGGAAACTGTGTCAGTATTACACATATCTTTAAATTATCCAGTTTTTCCAAGCAAATATTCAGTGTTATTGTAGAAATAAGTCAGGTTTCTGGGGAAAAAATTGCTCTCTCACCCAAAAGAAAGTCTATCTTTTCATATTTGGGAACTGTAGGTACTAAAAGTCTTTGTCAGCGAGACTGATCATGGCTTGTTCATTTGTTGCACCCTACCAAAAAAAGACGTTCTGTGAAATCAAACTACATCAAAACTTTCACAGTGGAAACTTCCTTCACGAATGCATTTAAACCAACCATACCTGACAGCCATAATCAGAGGTGTTTGTTTCTATAGTGAAGTAGAAACGCATCCTCTAGAACAATCCCATCTTCATGAGTCCCATCATAACACCTGCTCTTACCTAGAAGGCTCTGTCTTCTGGTTGGCAGCCCAAGTTGGAGATGAAGCCTTGTAAGTGTGAATGCAATTAGTTTACTTTCACTAAAGGATCCTGAGTAAGAAACCTTTTTGTGCACCCCTGTGTATTTACTAGCAACATCATTTGGCAATAATGTATGTCTTTCTTTTGGCAAATGTGTATGTGTATATTATCTACCTGTAAATAGGTGCCTATAAGTGTTCAATATTATTCATAAAATGTTCATTGCAACAAATTGGTGTTTATAAATTGTATCTATATTTTAATAGTTTTCTGAAGAATTTCAATTTACTTAATGCAAACTATATAATTTTTGTTTTGTAAAATTTCTGAAATGTTCTTCCCGGCTTTGTATTGAGTTCTGAATATGTCTGCAAAACCCTTTATTTATTAAATATTAGTAATTCATGCTATTTAAAAAAAATTAGGAACAACAAAGAAAGGGAAGAGACATAAAAATAGATAAATTTTAAACCACTATTTATCCTAGTACTCAAATGAAATGTCTTTACCATTTAGATGTATTGTTTTCTAAACATGATGAATAATAGAGAACATTAGAATGTATGTATTGTATTTCATATGTATTGTATTTCATATACAAATGAAATACACTAATATTCACTTCAATGATGAGATAGCAAGGATCATTTTAAAGCCAATTATATGAACTTCTGGATTTAACTGAGCTTTAGACCTCTAAGTCCTTTGTACACTCTTTTGATGCAGGAAAACCAAAAGAGAGGATTTCAGGGAACATGCGGGAGGGAGGGAGGGAGTTAGTTTGGAATGCTTGGTGGAGAGAAGGGAGTGTTCGAACTGATGAGGTTGGTTGTGGGAAGCATGATGCCAAGCTGAGGAGTTTCTTCTTTATTTTAACTTTGCCAGTGATATTGTTTTGTTCTTGAAATTTTGAAAGAGAGATACAATCACAGAGAAAAAGAGAGACTGAATCTAGTAGAATTCTCATTGTATATTTTGTGCCATGTAAAGTTATCTACATGGAAAAAAAATCATTTCCTTTTGTAAAGGGCTTTCTCTTGCTCAGGTTTACTGAAAACATGGATTTTTACTAGGCTTATTTTTTCTTTGTATTTTAATTTATTTTTTTAGAGACAGAGTCTCACTCTCCTTTCCCGGCTGGAGTGTAATGGCGTGATCATGGCTCACTGCAACCTAGATTTCCTGGGCTCAAGTGATCCTTCCACCTTATCCTCCCTAGTTGCTGGGACTACAGGCATACATCACCTCCCCTAACTAATTTTGTTGTTGTTGTTGTTGTTGTTGTTGTTGTTGTTTTTGTAGCGAATGGGGTTTCACCATGTTGTCCAGGCTGATCTCGAACTCTTGGGCCAAAATATCCACCTGCCTTGACCTCCCAAAGTGCTAGGACTATAGGCGTGAGCCACCATGCCTGCCCATTACTTGTTATCTTTTTAACTTAATTAAAGCCAAGTCTTGTAAAATAGCCTGGAGTTAACAAAAGTTTTTTTTTTTTTTTTTTTAATTCTAAAAGTGATACAATTCAAGTTCCTGTTTCGGAAATTAGCAAAATTAGTTATTGTCTTTCAGCAGTTCGTTCCTTACATAAGCCTTTGAGAATTTATTTGAAAAGATAAATCAAATAGCCAAGTTTGACTTTTTAAAAATATATTTTCCTTCTTTCAGTTCTCATTAGATGTAGATTTTGAGAAAATAGTTGGGGCAGTGAATGATTCTAGAAAGGCACTTAAAACAGTTAACTACTAAAATAGCCTATTTAAATGCTTTGAGTGAATGATACAGAGAGCTAAGTTTATTTTTGGCATATTAATTCCCTTCATATCTAGAGCTCTCCAGAAAAGCTCTGCAGATAGAATGCCCAATGCACGCATTCCTTTGTGACAAGTAGTCAGGATATATTTTATGGAAGTTTCCTAGTAATCTTTTCTTCTTTTAACAATACTTGGCTTAGTAAATCAATATTTTTGTTTGAGTTTCTTTTTAAATCACAATTCAGAACAGCTTCAGACACTGAATCAAGATGTGAAATCCATGTTCTGTGGCACAAATTTCAAATTGTGTTTTAAAGCCTCAATCTAAGCAAATCCTAAATCCCTATTTTATTTTTTTGAGGATGGAACTGTACCTTAATGACCATAACGTGTGGTTATACCATATGTCTAGAAGTAAATTGATTTAATTGGCCATGACAAGCACTTCTATAGTACTGTATGGTAATAAATAAATACAGAGTTCATGCACTCTCCTTAGGGTTAAAATACACATGCTGCCTGTGTATGGATGCAGATCTATGCATAACTATTCCTAGCTAGCAAGCAAGCTATCTCTACCTTTTAAAAACGTTTACACCTGGCCGGGCGCAGGGGCTCAGGCCTGTGATCCCAGCACTTTGGGAGGCCGAGGGGCGGATCACGAGGTCAGGAGATCGAGACCATCCTGGCCAATACGGTGAAACTCCGTCTCTACTAAAAATATAAAAAACTAGCCGGGCGTGGTGGCGGCGCCTGTGGTCCCAGCTCCTCGGGAGGCTGAGGCAGGAGAATGGCGGGAACCCGGGGGGCGGAGCTTGCAGGGAGCCAAGATGGCGTAAACTTACGTTTACTCCCGGAAAACTGAGGCCCCAGAAACCCCGCGTAACCGGCCTAACGCACGTAGCTCTGGGAGTCATGGTGATTACACTGAAACCCATCAGCCTGACACTGTGACGCAGGTTGAAATCTATTGCCTTGGGTTAGGTCAATCTGCCCAGAGAGAGATTTTGCTGTGAGTGGTGAGTGGTTTGTATAGGAAAAGACAGATGGAAGAGGGTTTGTGTGGCCAGACAGGAGAGAGGAAATGGATGAGGAGGCAGAGAAAATGATGAAACTAGTAATGAAAGCGTTGACATGGATTAAATTCCACTTCTTAGAATTGTCACTGATTAACCATGTAGCTTAGCATTTTATTTAAAAATTTTCCTTATTTCTGGTCCAGGAAGCCAGGCATCCAAGAATTTAGACTTTAAAAATGATAGGGTTAACTCAACAGGCAATGGATAGGTTGTGAATTATCTGACTTGGTGAATTCTAATCAGAGAAACAGAACTATTACAATGTTTCAGTAACTTTTAGGGCATCTTCAATAATTAGTGGTTAATATTTCTGAATGGCACTGGTTTCTTTTCTGTAGGCTTTATCAACTACTGAGAATGTGCAATCAACTGTGGATTCTTCTGGAGTCTTTTGGGGGCCTTTTAAAGTAAATCAGACATTGGAGCACACAGTTCTAAGAAGCAGCCAGTAAATACACTTTAGACATTAAACATTATCCAACAGGTTCGGTTCGTTTAAGTGTCCAAATATACAAGTAATTGTTTTAACATATTTAATTTGCATATTTGTTTTAACTGAGAAATTGTGTTCAACTTTTTCTTCTGAGTAACATTTCTTTGATTGTTTTTATGATTGCCTTGCAGTGGTTCAAGAACCACTTTTATATTGGTTAGTATGAGGCTAATTATGCATTCACGAGTGAGCTCAATGCAGATGTAGTTAATTCTCACGACTACCCCATGACTTCACTTCAGAGATGAGGAAAACTGAGGTAGAGCTTGGTTAAGTGAGTTGTCAAAATGCTATACCTAGTGAGTGGCAAAGTTTAATTACAATTCAAATTTTTTCTACTACAAAATTGATCGTGTTAATCCCTATGCCTTACTCTGTTTGAAGTAAGTTTGAACATATGTATACAATTTTTGTGTTCTTTTCTACCTTTCCTGGGAGGGTTCTTGCAAGAATAAAAACATAGGGTTGTGTGGGATTTTTCAGATTGTTTCCACAATTCTTGGTTATTTCCTCCATAGAAGCCAAGAACATAGAAGATACGAAAGCGTTGTAGAAAGAGGTAAATCTGTCGAGAAATTTCATGCCTTTTTTTAGATTACTCCTTAATCAGTCCCTGCAGTTTACTGAAAAATCCTGCTCTGGGTGGACTGATTACAAGCTTATATTTTATTTTATTTCTGCTGGTCATGTACTACTGCAGAGTTGTTTGTAAAACAACAACAACAACAACAATCAAAGAGGGGATTTCAATCCTTAAAAGGATTTTGTTTATCTTTCTAGAATTCATGCAGTGTTACAAGTCTTTTCATGAATCCAAGTCTCTTCTTTACAGCTAGATTTTAAACTTTTTCAAGGCAGGGACAGTGTATTTTTATATTGATTTTCATATGTGCTAGATGCAACTCAGAATTTGATGAAATACTTCTTGAGTCAGATTTTGCACTGTGCTGCTTTTTGAAGACCGTCCTGCCTCTTTAAGCGGGGAGATACAGAAGTGAACCTACTGGGCTTGTAAAAAGGGTGTGCACTTGAAAACTTGGTGGCCTTTAGAAAGCATTGAGATGTTGGACTTAGAACAACAAGGGACATATTCTGTGAAATTGTTACAGTAGCGAGCTAGTCAGACATGAGCAGAGCAGGAGAGCACCCTCCCGGCAACACACACAAGAAGAATGTCAGGCAACCATCCGGTGATGGTCAGGTGTTTGTGTAAATCACCATCAGGTGATGGTCAGGTGCTTCATGACCAATAATAATTGGTCATGTACCCAGTAATGGGATGGCTGTGTCAAATGGTATTTCTGGTTCTAGATCCTTGAGGAATCCCCCCACTGTCATCCACAATGTTGAACTAATTTACACTCCTGCCAACAGGGTAAAAGTATTCCTATTTCTCCACATCCTCTCCAGCATCTGTATATACCTAAAGGATTATAAACCATTCTACTATAAAGACACATGCACACATGTGTTTCTTACACTATTCACAATAGTAAAGACTTGCAACCAACCCAAATGCCCATCAATGATAGACTGGATAAAGAAAATGTTGCACATATACACCATGGAATACTATGCAGCCATAAAAAAGGATGAGTTCATGTCCTTTGCAGGGACATGGATGAACCTGGAAACCATCATTCTCAGCAAACACAGGAACAGAAAACCAGAAATCAAACGTCTCATGTTCTCACTCATAAGTGGGAGTTGAACAATGAGAACACATGGACACAGGGAAGGGATCATCACACATTGCGGCCTGTCGGGGATGGGGGGCTAGGGGAAGGAGAGCATTAGGAAAAATACCTAATATAGGTAATGTGATGGGCTGATGGGTGCAGCAAACCACCATGGCACATATATACCTATGTAACAAACCTGCACGTTCTGCACATGTATCCCAGAACTTAAAGTATAATAAAAAAATTAAAAATAAAATAAATAATAATTGGTCACAGCCAGCGTCAGGCAAAGGCAATCTCCCAGTAAACAGAAGCACCTGAAACCAGTGATCAGAAGCTTCTGAATATCTCAGGAGTTGGGTGAATAGGTTCAACCATGCACATTAGAAGGCACAATGGTCGAGTTTAACTGGTATATGACCTTCTAGGGACATTTGACTGTTAACGGAAGAATGCCTAAAGTGAGCATGTGTACAACCCCGGTCAGCACACTGCACACGCTCCCCTCCCAGGTGCTAGTGGGCCACTGTGCATGAGGGCAGCCCACCAGAGGGAAGAATCAGGGGAGAAGGGATGCAGGGCCCCCATATGCTGGCCTACAGAATCCCAAGTTAAAAGGTCAGACCACGCAGTTGATCGCTCAAGTCGCCCACTTGGCCGTCTTCCAAGTGTCCTTTACTTCCTTTCATTCCTGCTCCAAAGGTTTCTAGTAAACTTTTACTCCTGCTCTAAAGCTTCCCTCAGACTCTCCTTCTGCCTGTGCCCCTCAGTTGAATTCCTGTTTCTGAGGAGACGAGAATTGAGGTTGCTGCAGACCCGTGCAGGTGCATTCCACCACCAGGAACAGAATTAGTAAGCAATGATAGACCAAACATTTCTCAATTAATTAGTTAATTATAACTGACAAAATTATGTATTTGTGGTGTACAACATGCTTTAAAATATATATATATACATGTGGAGTGGCTAAACCAGGCTAGTTAACATGTGTGTTGTCTCACATATGTTTCATTTCTTTGTGGTGAGATCACTTAAAATCTACTTTCAGCAATTTTCAAGTGTACAATACATTAACAGTGGTCACTACATCGTACAACCCATCTATTGAACTTATTCTTCTGTTAGGTAAAATTTTGAATCCTCTGACCAACATTTCCCTAATTCCTCTCATACCCCCAGCTTCTGTTAACCACCATTCTCCTCTGCATCAGATTCCACGTATAAGTGAGATCACACAGCATTTGTCTTTCTGAGTCTGGTTTATTTCCCTTAACCTAACGGTCTCCAGATTCATCCATGCTGTCATGAATGACAGGATTTCCTTCTTTTTTTGAAGTCTGAATAGTATTTCAGTGTGTGTGTGTGTTTCTTTTATCCCTTCATTTATTAACACTTAGGTTGATTCTTTATGTTGGTTATTGTGAATACTGCTGCAATGAACATTAGAGCACAGATATCTCTTTGGTGTAGTGATTTTTATTTCCTTTTAAATACATACCCAGTAGCGGGACTGTTGGATCATGCGGTACATTTCTATGTACCAAACATTTCCGTGGAGTAATAAATCAAGATGAAAAACGTGGAGTTTGAATCGGACCAATGGAGAGAGTTTTTCTTAAGCCGGCACTTTGTTCTCAGGCCTGGGTTGCTTGGGGTAGGTCAGTGTTCCAAATTGGCGCTAGGCTCAGAAGTGGTTGGTTTTCAAGTTGGCATTTGCTGAAATAAAACACTAGACTAGCGTCCAATTAAAGGTACACAAATGCCATAGTTCTTTTTTATTGTGAGGAAGGAATTGGGGAATAATAATTCCTTGTAATACTGAAGCTGCAAAAATGTTATTTGGCAGCCTCTCTATATAATATCGTGACTCGTGGATTCTGGTTTTAAAATAAGCATGGGGCATGGAGACGTTATTGAAATAGAGCGAAGCCTTATGGAATACAGTCTCTCATGTGTAAGTTTATGTACATAGCCCCTGTATATAAACATTAAGTGTGTGTGTATTTGTAAGATGTAAGGAGGCAAAATCCACTCTTCGTTGTGTTTGTCTGAGACAGATAATTTCACGATTACATTTCTTCTTCTGCGTCACTTGCAGTATTTCTTCGAACAGTTGTTGGACAACAAGCTCGGACATTTTAAGAGCCTACAGATGTCATAATTAAGCTTAGTAATCAGTCTAGAAATAAACACACAAATAAAAAAGGATCATAAAGGTCAGCAATATGGCAAGGCATAAACATGGAATTCTAGAACTTGCTTTTATTATGAAAAGATGTATTTTGCAGTTAAAAACCTGTCATTCTTTGCATATGTTCAACTGAAATATGAAAGAAGGAAAATTCTCTCCAAATGATTAAGGTAACATTTTACAGGGGACATATGGATATTCTTAGAATTTGATGGGGGTAGGGGACCTTTCCTGGAATCAATTATAGGAAATTTGGCAAAATTGAAGTAAAATATTCATTTGCTTTGCTTGTTATAGTTACGTTTGTTATAAGCTTTTTAAAAATCCAAAATAATAAAATGAGAGTAATTTAAATCAATGGGAATTAAATGTGTTCAAATAATAGCATGACAAAAAAGACATTGGAACTGATTTTGAATAGTATATTTCATGTGCTGAGTAAAGTTCTAGGTCTGATGTCTTCTCTTGGCTGAAATTTTCTAATACCCTCCCCAACTGATGTTGTTTCTCCCATGTCTTATGTTCCTTGCAGGTTGTACACATACATGCACTTCCCTGAAACCAAAAATCACAGAATTGTTTGTTTACCTACCTACCCCACGAGACTATGAGTTTCTTGGAAGCAGTGATCTCTTATAAAACACCTTTGGGTCTGCAGTTATTTTTAACACATCATGAACTTCCTATTTAATGTATAGTATTGCTAGCTCAGGGCTGAGAGAAGACAATAAAAGATGAATAAGAACTTATAACTAAATGAACAAATAAATAAGTGAATGAATATGATAGTGTATGAATGTTGCACTGATATTTACTTATTTTGACTTGATACATTTCATTGTAAACAGTAAAAATGTAGAGAATATTCTTCTTCATAAGAATAAATGGTATTTTAGAGCTTTCTTTGTAAAATATATGTAATTTATTTAAATATTACAAATGTATTTGATTCACCAAAAAATTAAAAATATACTACCATTCACATCTTCATATTCTAATTCTGATTAAGTTTTAAATAGCAGTTGTGTCTTTGAAGTGAATGTGTTGTTTGTTCTGCCCTAAATATAACTTAACATTGCAGGTAGAATTCTAGTGTTTGGAAATGCTGAGAAGTCAGAATTGCAATTACTCAGTGTAGGATAAATATTAGCTATAAATATAATTAT